ATGCAGTTAGGTGGACTAATTGGTGTTCAGGGTGTGCTGGTTTAAAGTGGTGGCATAGAATGCCTTTCAAAAACAAACTTTTAAATTAAAATTGCAATCGATAATTATGAAATTAATATCTTTGCAATAGTTACGCCATTTTTAATCTTGAAGAGGTTCCATTTACCTTACTCTTAATTAAGAAACTGTTGATTGGTTCTGGTTTGATTAAAATGTAATTGAAAAGCTGACATTTTATAAACATTTTTTTACTTACGTCTGTAACTGTATATTGTGTAAATTAGATGGCTTCAACAGAGTCTTTCCAATGGAGAAACTAAGTTCCTTCAGCCATGAAGAAGTTCAGATGATTCTTTGTGGAAATCAGTCTCCTTCCTGGGCAGCTGAGGATATCATCAATTATACTGAACCTAAATTGGGATACACACGAGATAGGTACTTACGTTCTGAGTGATTTTAAAATAGTAACTAAAAGATATGTTAAGTGACAAAAAGACCAGAATGTTCATTTGATGAAGATGCCAAATTGGATGTGATTGGTGGTCACTGAAGAGCCAGTGACTGTCTAAAACTGCATGAAATCACCACGTATGTTACAACAGACAGGTTAGAAGGTACTTGGTGCTTTTGTGATGAGAGAAGATTAAAAAAAAAAGCTAAAAGATTAAAATGGGAACAACTAATGGCTGTAATGGCAGCTAACCAATACAGGCTGTTAAAAATAACATTTTAAGAGTTTTTACTTAAATCTTTGGTGGTGGTTATAATTCCTGTCCAGTTGGGTATAGTTGTTACTTGTCCCTTATTTCTTTCTCTCCAAGTGTAGTTAAAATGTACTATGCAGGGAACAAATATACTGGTGATTGGCTGCAGGAGGTGGCCTCGATGTTTCGGGGTTTGTTTGGTTTGGGGTTTTTTTGCTGCTTGTCATGTTTGTTAGCAATAGCATACAAATTACTTCTGAAACTGTGTTAGTATAAGTATGCTGAAGGATCCTGATCAGTCCAAGATGGGTGCATGGAGCAATTCTTCTATTGACCCTGCCCCGCATGCAGAGATGCAGCTGAGATTGCACTGCCTGCGCTACCTGCGGGTGTCTTTCAGCAGGCTCTGCTTTCTTCATGCCCTCTGCTCCCCTTGTTCCCTGGGCTGGTAGGGATGAAAGCAGCGGTATCTGGAGGAGTCCTTGAAGATCTGTTGTAGGCTGTTACGGTTTTCCTGGGTTTTTTGCGTGAGGGTCATTAACGGGATAGAAATGAAATCACACATAAATTGAAGTGGCTTTGTACTGCAGAAGTGGTACAGAAAGAGTCTTAAGATCATGGTCAGTTGGCTGCTTCTCGTAGAATAGGTTTGAGCTCTGTCTACTTTACCCATTCATACGCAAGATGCCCGAATAACACTCCAAGATAAGTATGGAGAAAAGGTCTTATTTGTCTACATTTTTGTGTCATACTACTTTAATCTCGTTGCCGAGTATTCTTATGGGTTTTATGTTTTATTCTTAACACTGAACAGGCACTAGAATCTCACAATGACTGCTTAGACATGACTAAGGATTGTAATTGTACTGTCTCAAGTTAAAGGAGATTAAAAAAAACACTCTCTTGCAATGTTGCCATAAATAATTATTTTAATTTATTTTAAGCCCTGGATTCCTTCGGTTTGTGAGAGTCTTGTGTGGTATGTCTTCGGATGAAAGGAAGGCTTTCCTCCAGTTCACCACTGGTTGTTCAACCCTCCCACCAGGAGGACTGGCCAACCTACATCCCCGGCTCACTGTTGTACGCAAGGTATGGCTTCTTCAGGTTGCCCTTCAAACCAGCTATTTTGGCTTTTGAACGTGATCGTTGCTACATTAAGAAATAACACTGATTATTTTTTTTTTCTTTTCGGTTTTTAATTTATGACACCATGCTAAGCTTTCAGTGCTAACCTCTGTTTCAGGTCTGTTCTCTGATTTCATATTTGAATATAAAAGAGTTAACATACGTGTACAGTAAATATATTTATAAGTTGGTCTGTGGCTTTCCTGATGCTACAGTTCCTTGACAACTGGTGTTACGTATGCCGTAAATGCCATGAATTAGAGGACCTTACACCTTTTAACTTCCATCTCGAGTGCTGTGAACAACTGCAGTAAAAAATGTTCATTCTTCTGCTCAGGTTGATGCTACAGATGCAAGTTACCCATCTGTGAATACGTGTGTGCATTACCTGAAGTTGCCCGAGTATTCTTCTGAGGAGATTATGAGAGAGCGTTTGCTAGCTGCTACCATGGAGAAAGGCTTCCATCTCAACTGAGCTGCTGACTGCGATGTGGGACATGAGAAAGTGTTTTTTGATACTAGCAAAGCCTCTTGTGTTTGTGTGCAAAAAATATGATCTCCACGCTGTGCTCTGATGAGACTTGCCTTTTTTTCACCTGTGAGGCTTTAGGAACATGTGGAATAAGTTCGTTAGCTGCTAATGACAAAATAAATCCTTGTAACTACACAGCCAGCAAGAAATTGGCACAGAACACTGTGTGATGCTTCAAGGGCTTGCACAACTGGAAATTAAGGTGGTTCTGTTTGACTGTTCCAAAGAACAGATCATCAGATTTTCAGTGTTCACTGACACAAATTTCTAACAGTGTATTTGTGTAAAGTTTGTCATTTAATACCTTGTACACTACAGTTGCCATCACTGATCCCTGTTTTGCTGGCTTTAAGCTAACTGGTCAGAAACTTGCTTCCTTAAAACTTAGAGTTAATGGGCATCTCCAGCTTTTTCTTTTTTAATGGTGCCTGCACTATTGGCGTATTTTAGTGGGTTTTTGCATATAATCATGCACAACCTTTTTTTTGTCTTTTCTTTCAAGTGGGAATATATTTTGATTTCTCAAATGCCCTGCTATAAAGATCAAATCCTTAAGTGTGTTTGTGCAGCTCAACAATAAAGCTATTAAAAACACTGGTTCCTAGTGCAAGGCACACTTAAAGCAAATTTTACTTTTGGTTGTATTTTCTTTGTATATTATAAACATTTATTTAACTTGTTGCAGTTTGAAGTTTAAAGAAAACACCCAATGTGTAAGCTCAAAAGTAATCATTAAAATGTTTGCAACATATAAAACTGTCTCTTCTGAATACTTCATTAATACTTAATTACATCTCTGTACATGTTCTGTACGATGTGCCACTCTTTTTCAAGGTTTAAAAGAACTACATGGCAATAACTGATCTGACGAACTCATTTCTGTGCTCAGATCTTTTCAGAATTACAGAGTGCAACTTCCTAAGCACTGGACTGGCAGTGATCATGGTGCATGTGGCCTTTCTTGGTGCTCTTCAGTGGGCCCATGTGACCTGAGGTTATAATTCTTCATTACATCAGAATAAAAACTGGGTCAGGTGGTGCAGCTGACTCAGCTTTACTTGAGATGGGAGTGCCTGTCTTGGTTTCAGCATGTGGTGAGGTATTCATTGGTAAAATGTGTAAGATAAAGCGAGGTGCTAATAAGCCCTCAGAGGTATTTATGTACTTGATACCAGAAAAGAAATACTATTATTTTAGTTGAATCTGTGTGGTAAGTCTTGTTCTGTGTCAGTTCCCTTTGGCAACAGCCTTTTCTTGGACGGCTGCTGAGGGAGGGCTTGCCAAGAGTCTGCCTCGCACATGTAAGTCAGGTTGATGCCAGATTTCTTTTCTTAGCGTTATTCGTAGGACTTTACAGGCATCGTCTTTGAAATTTTCCCCAGTGCAAAACTGAAGGGGAATCTCCACCACCTCTCACTCCTGTGACTATTGTGCTTCAACAAAACAGTGGCAGAAACCTTGTGTACAAGTATCTGCTCCAGACCCAGCGTCAGCTTGTTTTGCTGAATGTGCTGTTATTTTAAAGCTGTGTGGACTCTTCTCCCCTACACCACTTCACTCTCCGCTCCGTAGTTTCTAGGTGCAGTTGAGATCTGACTGTTGGGTGCTCCCATGGTATATGCTCTTGCAATATCAAGTCATGCCTAGTGCTGGTGGGGAGGTTCTGGCTGAGCCAGATGCACTTACCTTACTGGAATTAAGGTAAGTCAGGGCGGACTGCTAACTTCCCCAGTGCCTCCCAGGGTAGGGCACACCTGTAAGCCAGCATGCTGTATGCCTTTGAATACACCTTAGCATAGCTACATCCTTCTGCTTGAGCAGGCAGGTTTGATTTGGTACCTAGCTGTACTGAGAAACTTGGGTAGCTTTGGTACTCCTCTTTTTTGTAAATGTTTTAATCATGATGGGTGAATAAATATACAAGAGAAAAAAACACTGATGTGCCAAAATAGAAAATATTTTGTGTAATTTATGAAGCCAACATGGTAAAAGATGATCAAACTTGATTTTTACTATCTTTTATTAATTATAATATTTAAATGCCAAGTACTTCTAGTTACAGCTTACACAGTATGCAGGAATACTAAATACATCTGTACTTCTGTTATTTACATTTCTTTTGTAAACATGACTTACATGGACAAGGGAGTGAAACCAGCTTTTTCATGAAGGATGAATCTAGTTTAAAAGTGGTCATAAAAGTTACAGAACTTTAATTTACAGTACATTTGCATGAAAATAAAAAAACCAAGTTGGTGCTTAAAGGAAGCACTGAAACTCCATTTGAATTTGTATTTTCTGTCTTCTCCTAGGTCTGGCACAATGTTGTGTTAATTCAAAGCTGGTACCTAGATGGTCACGTGTAAGTTTCCATTACTTTATCCTCAGTCAGTTTTAAATGTTGACTGTTCTAGAGGGATTTCTGCTGGGTCAATAAAGCTACATCTGAAATTGAAGGTTCCCCTTTATGTTTAGCTGTATCTCTCTGTTATGTACCCAGGGTACAGGAGAAACAGGAAATATTCTGACTAATTTGAATATTGCATGAGTTGGTCTTACGACATCGGAAAACTGCTGTTGGTACGCCCTCGATACTTTCACCATCTTCTGTTAAACGCTTCAGTCAGTCTTGCGTCTTCCTAGCCTTCTGCCACTTTGTCAAGCACAAACAGAGGGGCAAGAATTCTGTTCCTGTTTGTTTCCACGATGCAGCCGTTTAGCACCATTTCATCCAAAATGATGTGCACCCTGTCCAAATTGAACATGATCTGGAAACATTTCAAGTTAAGTGTGTTTTGAACATGAAGATAATGCAGAGAAAATCTAAGGCCCCTCAGTCTTTCAAGTTTACAAAAACAGGTATTTCTTAATTTACTCTAGTTTATTTTAATAGAGCTAGGGAAACAGTTCAGCTGACAGGTTTTCTTCTGACCACAGAGATAACAAAAGTTGGTAGTAGAGAAGTTGAAGCCCCAGCCATCTCCCCTCCTGGAAGATTACCACGTAGCAGTAAAAGCAAGGTAAACTTGAACTTAGGTGTAGGTGGTTAACTTCACTGTCTGCCTGAGTACCACACACTGCCTGAATATAAAATGTTATTAAGGGATAACAACCTTGAATAGGAGGATGGAAGTAGTCTGCATTTATTTGTAGAAATGTAACTGTCAGTCAGATTCTTAAAATTTGATTATTTTCCTTATCCTAAGTTACCAATGTTATTTGATCTGCTTGAAAGTAGCTTAAGAGCAACATGCTGATAGGTGTAAGTCGAGTCGATCTAGTAATAAATCTCATGAAGAGCAGCAAAAGTAAAGAAGTGGTTCATATTTTAAATGCTTTCTATGAGATATTTGTAACTCTAATGTTCTCCTGAAGGAAAATAATCTGAAACAATCCGAATTTATACTCTTATGATACATGTAATTTGTCTGTAACCATGTCCGTGTCTTTCTTTCACGTTATCTAACAGCATCTGTCTCAAACGGAAATGAGAGGCCTCACTCGGGTATCAAGCAGCGGGCGTCCTCCCGCCTACAGGAGTGTGCTGTGTAGCTGTAGCCACCGAACAACTGCAAAGGGTTACTTAGTGAGAGAGACTCTCGTGTTGCTGTTCATCACCAGAACCTGAAATGGCAACGGGCCCAGCACACCGGCCTGCTGGGGCCATCTGGTACGCCTGACTGACACACACACACACACACATGCACAGAGGCACGGATAGCCCCTCATCTGCCTTGCTCTCCACCTGCTGCCGCTCTTTAAGTGCATTCTTCGCTGTGCTCAATAGATCAGCGTTGCCTTAATGTTGCTCCTTCTGGTTCTTGCCTGTGTATCGAGGACTACTGCAGTGCAGCTAGCAAGAGACTTCACAGTAACTTCTAAATATGACTCTCTTCCAACTTGGATATGAGTCTCTTGCGTGCCTTTTCTGCCTGTCATGCTATTTTTGACGCTATGGTTTGAGCTCAGGAAGACAGCCTGCTTTGCTCTAGTCCTTGTACTTACGTTAGTGGACTCCTGTTTTTAAAGGCATCGATGTTTTCCTCTGCTCAGCGTGACAAAGCTTACGTCTTTTTTTTTTTCTTCTTCTTTTTTTGAACATGGCTCAGGCACTCGAGAGGACTGCACTGTCTCACGAGTCCAAGTGGATCCAACTGCAGCAGTCTGCCCTACTGCTCTGCCAAAGAGCAGGAACAGTGGGAGTACTGAGCTGCCTGTGCCAACTGCTGAGGAGCCACATATGTGTATGTATTTGTTCCTCCTAGGTGGTAAATGTGAACGGTGGGGAGACAACACCTTAAATGACCAGAGCTACAATGCTGCAAGCTCCTGAAAGTGAACAAGAAATGAATTTAAGTAATGTAACATTGAACATCTCCATGCCTAGTTTTTTAGCACCTGGCTTTGAGAGGGGACTTCTTTAGGAGTTAGGTGCCTTGTTTTCCCTGCAGCGAGTGGTGAAAGCTGGACCCATCAACCTGCACAGGTTCTAGAGAACCAGGGCTGAAGCCAGTACTTGGGAATGCAGAAAGGGATTCTTCTGTGATCCCTTCTCTCAGATTCAGAAGCCCAAGTCATTACTTCACGTCATGATGACTGGCTCGGTTTCTTTTAAAATGTCACAGTAGAGATGTTCTCTGCCTGAAACCTGTAGAGGACGGAGGCTGAGCCTGTCCTCAGCGTGGGGAATTCCAAACTCACCTTTCTCTGTGGGCAAGCTTAGCTGAGTTGGTAGCAGCTGCCCCTGCTGCCTTCTACTTAAGGTTCTGCTGCTGCCTGTAAAAGTTCTTGAGTACGATGGTCTAGCCCAGCCGTGAGGGAAGCTTGAGTTTGTGTCCTTGTCTTTGTGATTGCTTCTGCTGCATGTGTTAAAGCAAGAAGAGGGGCACAAAATATCTCATGTCAGCCTGACGTGTGACCACCCTTCTAGGAGATGAAAAGCAGAACCTTGAACATGTTCAGGCTGAACTGTAGGATGGACCTGTAAGAACACAGCCAGCAGGCTGTCACCTTCCCCTGCTGCTTCAAATTGCTGAGTGCTCTGGGCTGATCTCAGTGCTACCGCGTATTTTTGCAGAAGGGTAAGCAATTGTGCGCTGCTCTAACAAATGCGTTCTGCTTGACCCAGAGCACAGCACGCCTAGGTGTGTGTAGTAGCAGAATTCAGGCCCCCAAATAACTTTACTACTAGTTATGGTTATGTGAGAAAGAGAAACTATAGCTGTTAACAGGAGGTTGGGTGTGTCCATGGTTCATCAGATAGCTTCTAATTTGCTGGCCTAAACTTAACCACCTGATTTAATTCTAAGTTGTACTTTATGTACTAGACTTCTTCCTGACTCTGACCATAGGCCTGAATTGCTTCTAAAAATCGGACTTGTGCCTTTCAATACTGAGGAGCAGTACTGTCCTTAAAACCTAAACAGTCTGTTTCTGTGGTTCCAGAAACAAAGGTCGTTGTTTTACTTTGCATGGCAGATTAAAGACTCAAGACAAATTTCTTCCTATGGTATACTTTCCAAGTAAATCAGTCTTTACACACGTATTTTAATCTGAGAAATTAGCATTTCTTTAGTCCAGTACTATAAGAATTTTTAGGAAGACAGCTCTTCTACTGCTGCTTAGTTCACCTCTGGCACTGGTCTATACAGGACAAGAGGATCTGTTAACAAAGTTAGATAACACTCCATTCAGGTTTCCACAAGTGATAAAGCCAACTCCCCTGGCTTTTAATTTTTACACTCTATCACTGATTCACAGTGCTCCAGTTCCCACGACAGAGCCAGAGCCTCTCCAGGCCTCCCTCTTCCTTTGGGAGTCCCAAGGATCTAAAACCCAGAAGACCGGATCAACCAAAATCAGTGATGATGCAGCAACTTGCCACTCCCACCTTATTTTTCTGCATCACCTTATTTAAGAAAACATTTAAAACACACTGCTTTTTCCTCTGCTGCTCTTCCTGAAGAGCTGATACCGTGTCAAAGGAAAGCTGCACCCACACCAGTAAGTATCTTGCAGCTCTTCCACTCAAACCCAGTATGGTTAATGAGATGTCCACTCCAGGTTATTTCAGAACTGGCCTACTCCATTACACAAAACAGCGCTATGACTTCTGTCTGTCTGTAACCTGTTAATCTCACAGTCATTCAGAACCAGTGACTTCAGCTGCAGTTTGAATCGGCATACTAATACCATTCTGGAAAGACCTATCATTGTGATTTTGGATGGTCCCAAAGCATTCATTATCCTCCACCCTCAATGTAACATCCCAGCTTCCTTTCTCCGTTCCCTCCCCACCTCCCTTTACTGCCCTGTTCTTGGCAAACAGTCACACTGCACAGGGACCAACCGTGGCTTTTTTCCCCTTCCTGTAAGTCTGTCTCACAGATGCCCTACGGGTACGCCTCGCCGTACACGCACTGCTCAGCCATTCGTGCCTGAAGGCCCTGCCCGGTGAGGGACAGGTACCTCTGATCCTCAGTGAGGCTCATCCTCCCCACCTGTCAGCCACTTGCCAAATTTCACGGTTTAAAGCCCTGAAGTCACAGATCCACACCCAGCTGAAAAGCAGCAAAGCAAACCAGCTTGAGCAACTGGCAACAGGAAAAAACTGTATTTGGGGTGTGCACGGCCCTGTGCTGTCCCTTAAGGTCCTGCTTCCAGTAAGCATCCTGGCTGCCCACAAAAGAGGATTAAGGGACTTTCACTAGATCTGTGCAGAGGCTAACAGGAATTTTTAAACAAATGAACAAACAAGCATGCAGAAGAAAATGTACTAATCTCTGTGTCGGTAGATAAAAGTCGGTAATAACCAGTTCTCAGAGCAGCCAGCTAGGGAATACCCTGAACAAGTTGTCAGCCTAGGCAAAAGCTGAGCCCTGACTGTCTGGTTTACAGGTTCCTGTCTTTAAGACTTTAAGACCTGCCCTTATTAAAGGCATTAGTAGTACTTTCTACTATCACAAAGAGGTTTTCATGGCTTATGCATACTAAGAAGAGGTAAATGTGCCAGTCTTGTGTCTCCTTCTCCAAAACATTATATAGGCAGATAGTTATGTGGGGGACAGGGGAAGGAGGAAAGGAAAAAGGCACATTTAGGACTTGCATGTAATAAGTAACTTCTTCATATACAGACATTTTAAGACATCTCAGGATTTTCCAGGTAAGTAGTTAAGGGCGTGTCCCAGCTGAAAAGATGATAAAGTGCAGCCAACACCTTGTGATCAGGTAACGCACCCAAAAGCACAAACAAAAGCTTTGTAGGTTACAGCACGGCACAGATGGGGCAGATGGTTTACTACTGAATGTACAGCATAACAAAACTGTGATTTCCATCCTGGACATTCATAATTTCTTTTTTTTTTAGAGTCACACATTCTGACTTTATCTTTGCTAACATTTGCTTTCAGTAACTTTCAGCCTAACGGCAGGCAGATTTTAGGCACTGAAACCCATTTAATGCTTTCTGTCCACTTCTTCCTCAAACGACTATGCTGACATTAAATAGGAGACAAATGGTGCCTTCAAGTTCTGTGATACTCTAGAACAACGGTTTTAAGGTAATTCTTACAAGTTTCCATTTCATCCACTTGTTTTAGAGTACAAATTGAAGCCTATCCTTATAAATTCTCTGAATAAATTAATAATTCAATTTTCTTACTACTTAAGATATGTGCTGTATTCTGAAAGTGTTATTCCACAGGGGACTGAAGAATACAGTTGATTCACATGAAGCATTCCCCGTATCAAAGCTTTTTGTCTATCCTAGGAGCAGCAGCAGCTAGTTGCAATGGAATGTAATGTTTTTTTTGCATTACAACAACATTCTTCAAATGCTTGGTCCTAGAGCACCCTGTCTTCCCCCTCTCCTCCCACAAGGGGAATGTAAGTATCTGTTTCTTCTGCAAGTTAATAATGTGTCTTCAAGTAAGCTTTGCTTCACCAGTTCAAGCAATAGAAAAGTCAACTCTTTGTAAATTTAGAAATTCTCGTGCTTGCCAGCATATCACTCCCTACAAAGTTGCTGTGGTTATGCCTGCGTTTTAAGTCTCTTTGTCATCATCATACCAAAAAAGTATTCCTACACCATCCAAGCTGGAGTTTTAGAGCTACAGAAAAATCCCACCCGCTTACTTCATACACAGAAGTGAGCCTCCTCTAGTGCTGTTACCACATCAGGAAGCAACTGCCCCAGGACAACTTCAGTACTTGTTTGTTCAACTGCCCCAACCGCACCGCTTACAGCTATTTTAAAAACAATCCAAACAACTTTAGAAAGGTTACGTCATTCCTTTAAGCATGTGGCTGACTCTCAGAATGAAGGGGGACATCACATAATGGCTGAATGCTTTGCAATTCACACCTAAAAGCTTCCATGAAAACCATGGCTACTCTAGAGTTAAAGTAGTTATTTAAGTGGCTGGTAGCTGATGGGTGTTCACTTTTGCAGTATGCATGAGGTAACTTTGCAATTGTTCAAGCATTCTTTAGCATCACACACGCTTATGTCATACATACCTATAAATACCATGCATGAATCCTGTTGGGCAGGATCCAGATGGGGCCCAGTCTCTGCCTTGTGCCCAAGGTGCCCTTCCTGCCAGCAGACTCCAGGCTCAGGCTGTGATGCAAGCGCCCCGGTGAATTTGGGTGTTTGGACCTAAATGGAAGCTGGAGGCTTGCGCCGGAGCGGCGTTGCCAGGAGAACTGGGGTGATGCGCTGCGGCTGGGAGGCTTTAGGAATCGGTGCCCGTGCTGCAGGCTTCGCGTGGGTGCCAGGAACGTTTCTCTTGCGTGATGGTCTCAGCCTTTAGCTTTGAATGGGGTTTGCTCTGTGCCTTTGATGACTATGATCTATTTTTCATGGGTTTTGATTTCATGTAATTTCCTACTATTTTTTTATGTTAGTAAACACTACTTTCTGTACAGAATAGCCACTATCACTTTTGAAATAAACTTCCTATGGATCTGTACACAAAAATAATAGCACAGAGACAGGAAATCGTGACAGTCTCCCACCAGATACTCCGTATACAAATATTCTGTAACTACTACTGGGTGTTTGCTGTTACAGACTTTCAGGCAGTACTTTCTCCATCAGGAGAAAGCTAACTCTTGGAACTGAACATCAGAGTTAGCATAAGGCTATTTGGCAAAGAAAATGGTTTAATCCCAGGTAGGGATATTATCTTACACACTATGAAAGTCATGTTGATGGATTATCGCTTGCACTGCATTAACATTTAAGACACTTGTAGTCCAGATCTTACACTGTTCTTCTGGGCCTACTAGTCAAGCTGTTATCAAAAATACACACAGTCCTGAACAACCCACTTCATCGGTACACCTCTGCCTTACATTTAAAGTTGAGGGTATCTCACTTCATTTCAATTATTTCAGGTACTCTCTCTCAACTTATGAAAAGCTCTTCTTCCTAAATGGGAGAATTATTTTGTACATATACTGAAGTAAAATGTTCTATTTTAAAATTGTTCCTGAAATGAATAATGTAGAAAAGTGTATTTCTGAATGGAAAAATTATGTACGTCATACATGTGAGGAGAGGCATATCAGACACGAGCTTTTCCAGTATTAGCAAATAAGACAGTCCTATTTTCCAAATATTTATATTCACACCCCCATGCAGATGAGACCCATGTAGAAGATTAATTTCTACAGGAATCACTCAGACACTGTATTGCACCCCTTGCAAACACTAGCGTTGGCATTTAATGCAACAACATCTGTAAGCAATGGAGGCAAACGCAGTATGCGGGAGCTTGCTGGACACGCAGCAGCCTTTCTCGGCTATTAAACAGGCGACTGGTGGTAACTGTAACGTGTAACTACAGGAAATCCCTCTCTAGGAAAACAATAACTAGAGACAGGCAGAACTCAGAATCATCAGTACTCCAAACAACCTAAGATAAGAAGAATTGGTCAATTGCAGACTCAAACCGCGCCATATGGAAACACAGGGAACTACTTCTGTGTATAACTACTGAATAGGTCAGGTTAGTCTCTAATTCAGCAAAGCTCGTACACAAGTACACATAGTTCTAATGCTTAAGTATAATAACAGAATACAAAAAAAGTAGTTACACAATCGCTCAGAGACCTTAAGAGTCCCTTCATGCTGAAATTTCATTGTGGCCCTTTTATAAAAGTGTATTTAGGAGTGTTATATTAATACCACAGCACTTTGTGCTTTCCAGGAAGGAAATACAGACAGTACATATACAAGTACATATACGTACATATATATTTAAGTTCAGTAAATGAGACAGAGTTCTAGGATGTAGCAACCACTAAAATATTTACAAAAGTGAAATTAATTATTTCCTTTCGTTTCTTTTCAGTAAAGAAGTAAGAACAATTACAAAAAAAAAAAATACACATTTTTTCTATGTTCTTCATACGCACTAAATCTAAAATAAGGTAAATAAACTAAATTACTTCACAGTATTTGATTCCAGGGTGGAAAACTGTATTTCAGGTGTGTAAGTGAAACTTTTTGTACCAGTAGATCTGCACTTAACTAAGAACAGACATAGGCATAAGGATTGCTGGAGTAGAGTGAGCAGGCAGTGGGATTCAGGACGAAGACTGTTTGCACCACATTCTCCTGGTTTAATTTTCCTTGAATTTAGTATTGTATTTTATTTACTTGCTATTTGTGTTTAATTGTTCAGAGCTGTATTTTAGTATTCGTTTGTATTTGGGTTTGGCTCATTTTTTAAATTCTATTTTAGTTAATACTCTGCAAATCATACACAAGAAAATACAGTTGTGTAAGGGGAGGGACAGGAAAACAAAAAGGTACCTGTGGCAATGCCTGGTTTCCTAAACTTCCTGCTCCTAGGCTTTTCTCTCTTTCCATTGATAAAGAAAGTAAAAGTCACCTAGACTTTCATGAAGCAGGATCAAAATGCAAACTTAATCTTACAGTGACGCTACGGCTATTTGGCTGAAGACACAGCTGTAACATTCAGTTATTATTGCAGTCATTTCAATATCTGTTTTACTGTAAACTTAAAGAAAAACCCTGAACTAATAATTAGTTAAGCCTGAAAGTTCCCCCATGAATATAACTTCTCATGCCCAGGTGTTAATGGTGCTTAGTTCTCTCTAAGCAAGCTTTCCCTATCTTATTTTAAATGGTGCCAGCTTTATCTTAATAACCGAGGATTTAACTAGGTGACAGTCATGAACATCAGCCATGCTTTCAGAAAGGTGCCAGAATGGTGCTACTTACTGTCAGTGCAAAATTTGTGAAACCCCTGCATTGTCTTGACTGACAGTCAGTGCTATGAAAACAGTACGAACTGGAACTCGCACCAGAAAGAAGAGATCAACCAATGGATTTCTGATGCTGAAAAGGATACATCTAATTCACTCTGCAAGGAAAAAGAGACAGACAACCATTAGTTACAGTTTGATCTCTCATCTCATAGTCATTAAACATCACACGTCTTTTTAAAGGATGAAGAAAATCTTCAAAACTATGATACAAAATTTTAGGCCTTTTCAGATTCCTGTTCTGGACTTACGATGATGTGCTCTTTCCTGCAACACCACTTTGCCTTTGATGTGTTACCTGCTTCTGTAGCAGAAGCTAATGTTCTGAAATTTTTACTTTGAGAAACCCACTGAGGTCACCCACAAGTAACAATTTGAATATGCTCAGTGCCATCTGAATGAGTGGGTGGAAAACCAGCATCTCTCATCATGGCAACTCCAGCCCCATATTCTCCCTTCCTCCTTCTGTAAAAATAGGATGTTAATGCCAAGCTTACAGTTTATATAAAACCAAAGTTAAAAATGTTGCTGCAGATCATTTCAACAGCAAAATCTAGACACGGTATATACCCATGGCTGTGATAGCCGTGGTGGATATATTAGGAGAGAGAAGGCAACTCCGAGCTCTGGACCCTTGGCATGCTTCACTATTCTCCAGCCTCAGCAACACAATTCTTAAGATAGTCATCATTTTCCTTCTAGTCTTGGCCTGGATTTACCCCAAGCAGTTTTACTCATTTAACTGAAATGTCGGAGCTAGGAGCCCTTGTGGTCTCTCTGCAGTCAACAGAAGAGATGGTTTGCTCAGCACACTTGAGGCATGACTCACTTTCTCGAGATACTCATCAGTCTCCACTGCCAGTAATGGGAGCTTAGGATGACCAAAATTCTAACTTAGGTTCCTCAGTTAAATGTCTAAATTTAGAAACAATTAATCACAGCCTCAGCAGTTAAGATCTTACACAGTTGGGGTGGAGCTTCCCCAGTTTCTGCTGAAAGAGGGAATCTTTATCTTCTACCAAGGGAATTTAGTTTGCTAATACAGTTTCCATTCACAGTCTAACACCTGGTTTTAGGCAGAGTTCCCACTGGTAAAATTGCTACTACTTCTATGGTCTAAAGATGTTCTAAACTGGACTAGTTCTAGTCTACAGGCCTCCACTGAGTGACTCTGCCATTCTTCAACTGGACATGTTTTAATGCATCACAAAATTTGTATTTTAAGAGCCTGATCAGTTTATGTTTCCTTAGCATTAAAAAGTACTTGAAAGCATTGGAATCTGTATTCTGAACAGTATGCAGAGTTTTCCCTGGGTAGCCATACAGAAGTGAAGGTGACTCAGAATTACATCTCACAAGCACCTTTGAAAGCTTTCCCTCTAATTCTGTTAATGTTTGTTCTGATATCTGAATTCAAGCTCTGTAAACTCCATTAGATAAAAATAGAGTACATGAGAATGTTTAAAGCTCACAAGCCTAAAAATAATAGATGACAAAATGTCCTTCTAGAGCAGGACAGATGTTCTTTCCTTTCCCAGAGTTCTGCCTCTGTTGTCATCGTACCAATTTGGGATTCTGCTAAAATTCTGCAAATTCTAAACATCAATCCATAATAATACAGATTATACTTTCTTGCTCTGTGGTTTCTGCCAGAAACCCCAGCTAGAATTATAGCCCTCTTCTTCAGAGCTCTGCCATTTATCATGTTACATGCTATTAAAAACAGAACCACAGAATGGCAATAACCACCCACCTTTTCGGTTCCCCTAGATTCAAACCTGAAATGCTAAGGAAAATACAAAAAACTCTGGTATGATGAATTCAGCAAATTTCTAACAACTATCAGTGGCTGGGTTATATACGTGGTCAAGGAATTAAATATACTACATTTATATGTATAAGAACTACATCTATTTTTGCTCTGCCTCAAGTGAAGAACATAAAACTTGAGAAGTGGTTGGCAATTATTAGCTTAATTACATAAATAAGATATGACTAAATTTTGGTGTGCATTCCTGTGCTGCTGGCATCAAATTCCATTCCTGGTTATCCCTGCTTAGGCTGGGACTGCAATCATATAAATTTTCAGAGACAAATGGTGAATTTAGTACTGAGTCAGGAAGTGATATACTTAGCTTCAACAGGCTGGTGCGACGTTAGTTGAGATAACAGCCTACAACATCTGCCAGGCATCTAAATAGTGAAGGGTGCAGATGACTTTTTCAAGCATGTCCTTGACTTCACAGAGGGACCTCTGCCATGTCTGCTGTGGTACTAGGACTGGGAAAAAAGTTACAGACCCTGCATACTGATCTCTTGTGTGTATAATTACCACCATAATACCCTCGAGCACATGGACTACGGAGGAAAGTCTATCCAGTCCTCTTTTCTGAGAGGGATATCCAACACATTTCAGCATAGATAAACTGAAATTGTGCTGAAGTATGATTTCAGGCAAATTTGTTTATCACAAACCCTATATTAAATAGCACATGTTTGAACCAGGATTATAATGCTGCATTTTCAAACTTTGTAAAAACAAGAAAACAAAAAAATCTCCCACCAAAAGGAGTCAGTGTCATTTTAATTGGATCCATGTCTGATGTTGAATCCTTAATGAAATGACTATCTGTATAATGGCTGTTTTATCAGATACCTGCTGCTGCATGACAACAAGATGGGGAGCACACTACAGACTGGTTTTTGAGGTTTCATTTACTCCATCCCTCTGATCTTGTTCAGTGAGACCAATGTCAGCTGCCTGCTTAATGCTTCCACCATCTTTATCCTGAATGAAGTTCACTTGGGGGCTATAATGCTAAGAACTGCAAAAATGAACTGGAAGGAAAACCATCTTTATTTCTTTAAAAAGTATAAAATGCCAGTGACTAATTTAAGAGTAGATGACCCAAAGAGACCCCTCAGTATAGGCATATAAAAACATGCTTTTCTAACAGAAACATTTCTGGTATTCCTTGTGTGATGATTTATAACACATGTATACTTGTACTTCTCTGAAAAATCAACTAATACTGCCTTTTTTTTTTTTTTTACAGTGGTAATATTCATGCTAAAATATTCAAAATTCTAGATGAATATGAAAACAAAAATTCTCCTTTGATTTATTCCCTGAAATGACATATTCACTAAAGCTTTAAAGGAGAAGAAATATGTCATAATACATTCAATGTCTCACTTACCACTCTGCTGAAGTATTTGTCCAAAACTTCCACAAAATTATGAATTAATTCATATACTGCCATCTCATTCTGAAATTAAATTAAACCCAAGTGAATAGCTAGAAAATGTAATAGTGTTCTTTTTGTGTTATTTCAGTTTGTGGTGTACAAAAAGCAATGAGAAAAGATAATAAGACCTATGATAAAGCGCATGAGCTCCGGCCACCATAACGAGAGGTGTGGTTACCCAGCGGAGGCACCACCGAGAGCAGGGGAGCGCTCAGGTGCAGAAGCTTCAGGCCAGCCACACATGTAAGCACTGCAGCACCCAGTGGGTTCCTCTCGCCTGACTTGCTGCCATCCCATCGCGTCCTTCCTTCCACCATCACCCAGGAGAGACGCAGCCGCAGCTGCAGCCACCCAGGCTGCGCCTGCCCCTGCTGGAGTCACACCGGCCAGCTGCAGCACAGAGCCAGGCTACGCTGCAGCAGTGCCCGTGGGTCATTTTTGTGGCAAAGCCAAAAGGATTTGCCCCAATTGCGTAACCCTGACTTGAAGGCACGGTGGTAGTCAGCAGCTCCCTTCCACGCCACCCTGTTAAGGTCTCCAACAGTAAGTTTTGAATTAATTTCTGAGAACCGGGAATCAATGTAAACACCACACCCCTGCATGTTCAGCCTGAACGCATGAAATAAAAGTACTTGTCAATTTGCAGATACCTTTTTGTTTCCTCTTCTGTGGCCAAGGAGGTTAAGAACAGTGGGCAGTTGGGAAGTCACCACAGATGAGACAGCTGTTCTGGCTGTCATGCTAACATTTGTTGAGAAACCCCACCTCACATAAATTTATGTTTAATCAAGCATAATTTTAGAAAGCAGAATCAGTACAAGGCTCAGGAAGACTGCCTCATCATAACCTTTAAGTCTACTGCTATAGACTGAAGTCAAACATACCACATTTTCTTTTATAACTCTCTTTATTTCACAGAAATAAAATCAGGTTTTTTTCTATGACTCCTTGAAATTCTCTAATCGCTATTGCAAAATTACATACTGGAAGAAGACCTGAACTCTTGCCCATGATAATCACTACAAGCTTTCATTTTAAGAGGGTATATAATTTCTTACCTCTGTCTCATTGATGCCAACGACTATGAAGAGGGCTGCATACTGTCGGTATACCAGCTTAAAATCCTTATACTCAATGAAAGAGCACTAGGCAGAAGCAAAACGAATCAAATATAGTAGCTGTCATTTAAGCATATGACAGTATTAAGCACAGAGTGCTCAAAGAGCCTAAGCTTTCACGTTCGTAATGCGCACAAAGAACAATGGGTTTCCCAAGATCCACCAAACAATTTTCACTTGAAAGAAAATTTAGTAGGATAACTACTACACAACACTTCGCACCTACTGGCAGAAAACATGTACCACTTTTTAAACGGAAAAGGTGGAACACAAGGAACTGCAGGGACTTGTTCGGGATTTGCAGGCAGTTAATACTTCCCCCGACTTCTCATTTGGAAGCACTTCCAAAAAGAGACAACGTGAAGGTCATTTTCGTATTTAAAAAGTCATCGAGATTTTTATATAGAAGAGCATTAGCCTTCCAGACCCAGAGGGGACGTTCACACGTCTCTCACAATAAGACAGGAGCCAGCAGATGGTGCTGTTATACACTGCTTTACGAGATGCCTCTTTTTATTTTATTTTATTTTTTTTTAAAGTATTTTGCTCAGTCCTTGAAATGGCAGCATACCGTTAGTGCTCTTGCTGAAGTTTCTGTTTGAGGACGCTCTTGCAAGAGCAGTATGGAGGAGGTTAATTAGTTTAGCCACTGTCAAATGTGTGAGCTAAGGTACTTTATAGGAACTGGTTTTTTTCTGAGGTTTTCTAGAATGAAGTATGTGTGGACACATGTAATTAATGAAAAATAAAGAAGCTGACATCAGAACACAAACCAAAAAACTCCACTTACAGTCCAAGTCACAGATTTCTCCTCCAATGCAGGTCAATGTGCTCAAAAGTCTTGCTAGGTTTGGTACTTCTCTTAAAGAACCAATGGCTCAATTAAGTGAGCCATGAAAATCTCAACTTTCCTCTGAGAAATTTTCCAACTTCTGAGTTTTCTGACTTTCTTGCAGAAAGCGTGAACACTTTTTTTGAATAAAAATGCCTATTACAGAGCTCTAAAAATTTGTGTTTCCAAACCCCCTGTGTTTTAGATAGTATTTTCCTGATTTGGAATCCTCTCTTGTAAGTTTTTGTTTAAACTTGGGGCTGCCAGTACTATCCTTACTACCTTCTGGCAAAGCAGCAGTACTATCTCTCTATTGATCTCTACCAGAGAAGCAATAACAGGATAAAATAAATTCTTCCTGGACTTCTGAGATTCTTCTAACAAACAGGAGAAATCTTCATGTCAGTGATACGCAAAACTCCAAAATCTCTGTAAGCCTCAGAAAAACCTATTTATTCAATGCAGAATAACAGTTCAACTGACTGAACCCATAATCTAGAAACACAATCTTTTTCTTCATGGGTACAAATGAAATAATGGCCTGCAATGCAAACTGATGTGTTTTCAGAATTATCAACATGAAAGTTGTGAGATGTTGATAAAATAAAAAGAGTTGGGGGAAAAACTACAGAACTTACCTGATCCTTTGAACGAGAGAGACAGTTTTTGATTACTTCAGCTTCCAGTATTGTCCGTTTATTAATTTCTACATGCTCGTAATACCTAGAGAGCCTTGTCTGACCTTGTTTGTTTACCATAAGAAAAAATTTTATCATTTCTTTTTTTGTTGATCTCAGCAGCAGATTTGAATATGGGGTGCAGTAATCAAGAAGAGTATTTCTGCAAGGAAAATAAAAATAGTAGTATACGTAGGCGTTATGAAAGACTTCCTAAAAGCTAGCCAGCCCAGATCTGAGTATATTTAAGACTGAGTTTATTGACAAAACATAGAATATAGGAAAAAAAAAAAAATCTAATCTTTTGCATGCATCCAATGAGTAAAACTCATTTTTGTTTCCCCACACAAACAGTCACAAACTGTCTAATAAATAATAGCTTTCACATTATCAGGCAATTTAATTTCTTTGTAGGATTTGGGGAATTGGAGGAGAAACAACTACTGCTTCAAAACCATAAATCTACTCACCATTTTCTTCCCACATGCTAACTGGTTTAAGAACATCATCAGAAATTTGCCCAATACCAAAACGTAAGATTAACACAGCTCATAAGAGCAAAATTGGCCTAGGAGTTATTTTTTTTCTTTTTTTCTGACTTGTATTTAACAATTTCATTCATACCAGAAATAAGGAAGACAAAGGGAAATGCATGGGCCACAATACATGACCATTTCTTTAACGCAGAATGAGCCTCCTAAATATTCAGATATCAGCAGTACCAGCACACATCTTGAGCTGGACTGGGAGCCGCTGAAATCTGGTTTCTCCTGTCTAATTTCCCACACTGAGGCAAAAGGTAGATCTAAGTGTGGGTCTTTGATAGCTAAGGAGAAAACTGTTCATGTTAATTACTCAAAACAGCACAACACCACTGAAATATAGCTGAGGAATATGAATATGCCACGCGCAGTGTACAATGAAAAAGGCTATTAAAAAGAGCACAGCATATATCAGAATCTGCTTGCTAAAGAACTGACATCTTTCGTGTTTTGAAAAACATGCAAAAAAAAGGTAACTGCAGATGTAATTTTTTGAAAGAGAAGTTCTGGGTTATTTTCTTTAATGCCAGAAAACAGTCACTGTAATGTTTTCCATCTGACTCTGTATTTGGATCACAGATTTATTGGCCCAAATGCTCTTGAGGTTTATGCACTGGAAATACAGCAACTACCGCAAAAGCTGTTTCTCTATTGCAGTTCTGAACAGTTGCTCATTGCCTGGTGCAAGTATTCTCTCCTAAGGTCTCACAGCTCCTGTGAGAAAGTCCAAGTATCAGGAATCCATAGAACGATACAGCGTAGCTCTTTGTGTAAAAACAGTATTTTGTAATGTAGAAAAACAAAAGGGGGAAAAATATAAAAAACCAAAATAGGTCTCTGAGGCAGCAACCTCACAGACATTTAAACATATGCTGATTTTTTGTAAGGCAGCAAGCTGCGTAGGTTCCACCTCATAGTATTAGCAACTTGAATAAACTGGCTATATACCATTCATGGGTGATAACATCTAAATCTTTCATGATAGTGACACAAAAAATCTCAATATATCGTGCTGACATTAATTATTGCTTACGTCTGATTCATATTGGTCACCTAATTATCTCCCGAAAGAAAAGCCACCTCTATTATTATCACTTGGATCTCAAGAAAGCAATCCCATTTTCCTCAGTGTACCGTGGTTCACGCCATATACAAAGAAGTTCCCATTTCCGTACCAGATGTATCTTTACCAACTGAGAATTCATTTCTTAACTAAGTGATGCCTCCAGGGAACAGGAGTCCAGGATCAATCCTCAGGAGAGGAGAATCTGTTTGGAATTGTGATGGTCTCAGAGCTTTCTCATCTCCTCCAGGCCTGGTGAAGTCTCCTCACGTCCAGCACAGGAGTGCACTTTTGTTGATTTGCTCCAACGGAACAGCCACGGACGCCAGTCAGTGCTGCTGCCGTGGTGCACGTGCCTCATCCACTGCACCCTGGGCTTCTGAACTATAGCACAAGTTCTCTGAGAAGGAACGAACCAGGTAATGAAGACAAAAAAGGGCCCAGATGGAAAATGTAAGGCAGAATCTTCACTATCAGATGGCACCTTAGGCTGACATTGCTGACTAAAGGGGAGAGTACCACCTGGACAATCTTCTTTAATACGTGCCTCTTCCCCCTCCCTTCTATTTTGTATTGCTGCTTGAAGTTACAGTTGCAATGAGAGATATCTTCATTTTGAGCCATAAGGAAAGGTAAAACAGTGAGATGACTTAACGTCATTTTTTGATACAAACCTTCCAAGAAGTAAAGATAAAATGAACGACTCCTTCCAGCTCAGAATGAGGCACTCTATCAAGGGCCAACCTCATGAGCAAAAGAAACCTGAAGCTTTAAAGCTACTTACGAAAGGGTTGTGGTCTGAAAGAGGAACAACCTAAGAAATGCCACCTGTTCTTTTAATGAAAAAAATAGCAAGCTCAGACACTGGAGGCCAAAAGCTCTGCACGTTGCTCCTACCAACTGCAAAACGCGTCCGTCCAAGCTAAACAGATAATGACAGCGACATAGACAGCTTTTCTTTTTTCTTCTTAGTTCCATGCTTCATCTTTGTGTTTGGTACTGCTGAAGCATGAATTATCAGTCCTCTGCTTTGAACAAGTTATTTCCAAGCTATTTTAATAACTTAGTCAAAAATGGTACTGAGGAGCATAAGTCCTGTTCTCAGAAATCAGCAAGTTCCACAAAACCATCCCAGAGAAGTAAAAACCTGAGGCTTAACACATCTGCAGATATTCAAGTGGGACCCAAGAATGGGAGGACAGTAAAACTAACCCAGGAGCACTGACAGAACTGTTGTACTTTGAATTTCTGTTAAGCCATACATAACAGAAAAAAATATATGAAGACTTGATACGTATGGATCCTACTGCAGGATTGGCCCAAATCCTAATTATTCCTTTATTAACCTAATCTTTCTACCCGGTTAATCCCTTTGTGATGTTATGACTATTGTATCTGCGCGTATTCTTGTGAATGGCCTGGATTGTTTTACATATGAAAATACTTTAGACAAGAATATTTTTTTTTTTAATCCTCACAAATGCTCTTATCCAGAATAGATATGGAAAAAAAAATGGATCATGTTGTAATGGAAGTAGAACCACAGTAGCACTCCAATGTGTTACCTGTCATTTAGGAGACAATCATTATTTACAGGATTAGAACAGGTGATTAACAGCCGTAGGAAAGAGGTCCACTAGTATCACTAGTAACTTCTCTATTTTCCCACCAGCCCCAAAGATAGCTTCCAAAATTTTAGCCAGAAATTTTGCTCATATAAATGGCAGCACAAGCACATAGTTTTGTGTGGAAACACCACAATAAATTTACATGCACAAATAATCATTCTTTAAAATTTCACAAAAAGCATGCAAGCACGGCTGTGGAAGCTGACTTTGAGAATAACACCAGTGTTAAAAATATCTCAAGGGGTTTTTTATTTCCTTTAAAAATAATTCTCAAAAAAAAAAAAAAACACTTGTAGAAATAAAAACATTTGCTTGCACAATTCAGGAAAAAAAAAAAAAAAAATTACTGAATTCTGTTTCTAACAAAGTTTATTTCTTCTCCTTTCATCTTGGCTTCCAGATATTCAACATGTTAAAATTAGTTTTGCATATATAAGAAGTAAAGAAACCTGTGAAGTATAAGAAACAAACAAAAAGCATATCTGTGCATGTTGATGGGTGAAGAAACTCCCGTTCCTTCACCAAGTTCTATGTATTTGAGAAGCTAACTTTTATGACCAATAATTGGGACTCTACTTACAAAGACAGCTCCATTTCCTCTGATACAACTCTTACGTGCTTTTCTGTGCGTTCTCACGCACATGCCTGCATGTATCCATGCACATACACACAAATTTTACCAAGCTTTTATGCATACAGAATCAAATGGTTCAAGGGAATTGGTGACAAGATGCAAGCCTTTCATATCTCTGCCATTATTTTGCTCATTTTAGTAATGAAAAGACATTACTATCTGAAGGCTGTTTGTCAGAAATGAATAGGCTGTCTCATTCCAGGTCACTGGACAACTATCTGCATCACAAATGTGCCTAGGAACAGAAGACTAGAAGGGACTATCGAGATCCTGATGGACTGTCAAGTCCAGCTCTCCCCATCACAGCCAACCATGCATTAGAAATTTTGTCCAGAACAGCCTACGGTATATGCTTTGTGCATTCCTGATCTACAGAACACCTACAAAACTCTGTGACAGAACGAAGACTCCGTAGAAACAAAAACCTCAGAAGGAATCACTTGGGGAAGGTGAAAAAAGTCCTGAAATGGCAAACCTTCCTTCAGAAGAAGGTATCTTCCAGAGTGACTTATTTCATTTACAAAATATTTCCTCCGTGAGGATAATTTGGCACGCACACAAACGACATACAGTTTAACTACTGTGATTTAAATACGCGCTGTAACACTGTGTTAGATCTCACCCTCATTAAAGTATCTCTTGCAGGTAAATATCTATGAGAGAAAACTGGTATCATGATTGGCTTGTGTGACTCACACTGGCAGGCCGATGGAGTATGCAGTCATTGATGACTTGACATAGGATGGCTTTAACCCCTTCTAACCCAGCACACACACAGAAGACTAAGGACTCCGGCTCATGAAGAGATGCTTCTCGATTTTACTGACCCCAAGCAGGTTGATCCCCTCCTGCCTGTACAGGTAACTCCAGCCTTGTACTGGAGACCTGCCTGGTTTGCTTCAAAGTGCTGAAACAGAAACCGTGTCGGCTCAGGAACTGCTTCCAGGACACGCCAGCTCTGTGGGCTGCGTAACAGCTTGAGACGCCTCAAAGTGAGCTGTCCCTGTTGGTGAGTCACACCCCTCAACGCCGGCTTTTCAGATACTGCTGGAGACCTCTTAGAGCGGCAAAGCCTGCAATACTTGTTCTGCAGATGAAAAAGTCTTAAGTCTCCAGCATGGCCAACCCAGCAGATTCTACGTGCAGTAATATAAAACATACTTTAAATAAAATTTTAATTGCTCCTCCAGTAGATACAAGCACCAGACATTAATTTATTTTGTCGAAGATTT